AGAGTGCTCCAACAGAGGATGATAGACGTGACTCGCGTAATGAAACACGACGTAGGAAAGAAATATGCTGTACAGTTTTAGTATTTTAACACTTGACATTTGTCAGTATATATGATAAATATATATTTTAGTTATTTTAGTATGTAAAGACAAGGCATGCAATGAATTAGTTTGTAGTGGACTGGATCAGCACCTGAAGATGGCACATTGGTGCCGAAACATGTAGTGAGAGTGAAAATAGGGGATAAATAAATGTATGCACTAGAAGACGGATAAAATAAATCATGGCCCTATATATTCATTCATTCATTCATTTCGTTTCATGTTAAAGAAAAAGCAGAGAAGCATAATATTATGATCTGTGTTTTCTGAAGGTTTATGTAATGTTTCTGATCTTGGTTTGTGTGAAACAGATGTGTGAGTGTTTAAGTAATGCTGTTTGGTTTGCATTTGAACTAATCAAGGGGTTGGGCTTGCTGTTTTGAATTACTGGAGGTAGTGTTCAGAGTAGTTCTGATCCACCTTTCTTTTTCTTCAATTTTTCAGTGTTTTGTGCTTTCTTTTTCTTCAATTTTTCAGTGTTTTGTGTTACAAGTTTTTCATATCTTCAGTTTTTATTAAATATTTGTTTTTTGTATTCAGTTTTTCCCACTCAGGGTAATGTGGAGATTTATTATGACCCACAGTTCAGGCTGGGTTAGGTTTATGCTAAATGTGAACCTTCTATGCCCTGCTCAACCTTGGACACACATTCCATTGAGGGAGAACTGAAAACTCAACATCTGAACCAGGGATGATGCAACTACTGTCCCTTATAGAGTGCAGGGTAAAGATGAAAGGAAGAGCTGCTAACTTCTGAGGAATTTGCTTCTTCCACATTCCGGGAAGAAGAGGAAGCCATGCAAGGAAAACCAGGGTCAAAGACAAGGAAATAAGGAAAGAAAATGGTGCTGCAAGGACACCAGTGAGAGACAGGGGTACTGCCCTATATAGGTACCCTAGTTTATATGCATGGTTCACTCTTCTGTACTTAAGGTGGAGACAGCAGTTTCCTCTGAAATGTTGGCAAATTCCCACCAGACTATATAGCATCACATTCTAGACGTCCATAATCTTCATATTGGTAGTCATGGAAGCCTTAAATCTCACATACAAGTGTGTTTAACCATGCAACAAGTACAAATATTGAGAATATGTATGTTCCTAGTTATGGTTTTAGTGACCTTCTTGGCCTCTGCCTGACCAATGAGGGGCTTTCATAAGAAGTGAAATGGACTGTTCAAATACCTGTGGGTATTGCTTTTTGATGAATTCCCGTTTCTCCTTAGTCCCAACAGTGGTGTACACTGTGCATCCTGTATGAAGACAAATGTTGATAGCTGCCTGACCAACACCCCCAGTGCCTGAGTGGATAAGCACTGACTCACCCCTCTTCATGCCTCCAACCACCACCAGTACATAGTAAGCCTGTCCATGGCAAAACAGAGTAATAAATTACAATTCTATATCGAATTTCATTAAAGTCTGTAGGAATATTGTTCAGACACACAACAAGTAATCAGCATCTACTGCAACAATTAAGCTTAGCCAAACAGAATTACACTCTTTTTTCCCCAAGATACATACTTGTATCAGTATGAGGGCTGGATATGTATGAGTATTTACTAATTTCAATAAATAATACACTCCACTATCACATCACTATCAACACTGATAACACTGTACTCTCCACCTTCATTTACTCCCTTCATAAATACTTTTAAATAAATATTGCTATAAATTCTTATTTCAGATATTCTAAAAACCTGTTTCTATTTTCCACATAATGATTAGTGACTTTTCATAACAATAAACCCATTACAATTACTGAAGCTTAATAAAAACTTGGCTGGTTACTGAAGTAACTGTCAACACAACTTACCCTAGTGTAACATGTAAAATGTCACAAGTATGGGTGAGTTATAAGAAGGGGTTTGAATTGGTAATTGGATTTAGTGATGACTCCTTCTACTATTACTCATAATCACAATAAATTACAATAGCTCACAATAAATCTTCAGCTGAACACTTCTTCCAAGAGTGCCTAGGACTCACTCAATTCTGACTAGGTGACGACTGTCTACTGAACTTCTGGAGCCAGAGTTACTGGCTGTAATATAATCACAGGGTGGATGCCACAGAAAACATATCCATTGCCCAGCACTGCACATTTACTGCTGTAGGCTTTACCTAGCAATGAGCTGTTTA